TTTCACTGTACATAAATTATATTTCAATAAAATGCATTAAAAAAAGGTATTCAAAATATTAACAGATAATAATGGGGAAAAGGGGATCAGGGAAGACAGAAGTGAAATCTACTTTCTGCTTATGTCAATTCTTTACAATGAGTACTTATTACATACAGTGAGGAAATCTGGGGAAGCAATAAACTAAAACCATAGCAAAATACATGTATTCATGGTAGCATAGTGCCTAATGCACTTGACTGCTCACCAGAAGGCTGGCGGTTCAAACCCACTAGTCACTCCTAGGAAGGAAGGTTGGGCAATCCTACTTCCATAGTGATACTGCCTCGGGAACCCAAGGAGGGGTCGCTATGAGTCGGGCCGACTCGACGGCAAACAACAACAACAACAACATTCATGGAAATAATGTTCTAATATGAAAAATTTCATACTAACCAATGTAGGAATAATTTCTTATCCATAAATAAATAAAATGCTACCTAAATAAAACACTGAAGTAATTTTTTTAAGTAATCAAAAGAAGAATACACCAAGCCCTGGCTAACTTCTGGTCTGAGCCAAACCTTGAAAGATTAAGAAAATTCTATGCCAAGTGAATGACATTGTTTTCCTTGGTGTTGATTCTTTGTTTTACTGAAAAAAAACTTTAAGTACAATTCTTTTACTTACTTTCTCATTTTTTGTAGTTACATAAAGGAAGACGTCAAAGATATCTTCTTTCACAGCACATAATTTGGCTTCCACATGGGTAGCAGCTAAATAACATAAAGAAAACATTAATCATACCTTATATTGAGTATATTTGAAATAATTTCAATTTCCTACTATTAATCTCTAATAACCACATAAGATTGCCCAGCATCAAGTGATCAATGGCTTTTTCCAGCAGGTCTTAGTGGAGGGTGGACCTGGGAGTGGGTGAGTTAACAAAAAGGCTCTCCTGACTAGGGAGTAAGTCATGCATCCTTTGTCTCTCTCTAATCAACAGCATCCTCTTCCTGCCACCCTACAAATATCTCCTGAAGTACAGTTCTTAGCCCTCTCTTTTCTTGCAGTGACCCAAATCCAAATTTCCAGTCATGACCTTCATCTGAGAGTCCGTTCCATCCCTCCAAATGTTCCATGGGTCAGAGTACTTGGCTATTCTATGAAAGTCTTAATGACTCAAACAGTAGCTCCATTTATTGAGCTGTTCATATGTATTAGGCACTATACTAAGTCCTTTTTAAACTTTATTTCATTTAATTCTTATCACAGCCCTTTGAGGGAAGTATTGTTATTTCCATTTTATAGGTGAGAAGACTAGACTCAGAGAAGGTGAAGCCACTTGCCTGAGGCTACACAAAAGTCTCTGGACAGAACTCCAAACTAGGCAGTCTGCCTCCACCATATCTTATTCTCATCAATAGGCATCCCCTAATGGTGTCACAAGGGTCCAAACTCCCAATCCAGCAGACTCCCCTGCATTCCAGTTCTGGCAGGTTCAAAATATCTGGCTTTTCCTTTACTACAATAAGGCAGCACAGGAGAGAGGCCAGGGCCCCAACAAAGTGCCAGGTGTGCTACAATTATTTCACACCTACTAACACCTTAGAATAGTCCAAAGAGGCAGGCACAGTCGTTTGGCAGAGGTTAGGATAGATGCCACAAATGAAAGCACATTTATACTCAACCGTATGAAATTAAGAGAGCATACTAAAAAACGAAAAACCTTTCATATATCTTAAGTTAGCAATTAATGATTATTACACAATAAAAACCTATATACTAGTCCCTAGGAGCTCTGGTGGCATAATGCCTAAGGCATTTTGACTGCTAATTAGAAGGCTGGCAGTTCAAACCCACCAGCCACTCCTCAGAAGGAAGATTGGTCAATCTCCTTCCGTAGCAATACTGCCTTGGAAACCCAAGGAGGGGTTGCTATGAGTCAGATCTGACTCAACGGCAGTGAGTTAGCTTTGGTTTTTGAGAGTCACACTTTGGGCCTAGAACTGGACTCACTCCTGTGGCTTAACTCTCAGGCCTACAAGCTGAACAACTACACCAAGGAGATGCACTCCTTGGAACAATCAACCATGGGAGACTAGAAGGGCAGCATTTGCACAGGGAGAAAACTAGGCTGGCAGGAATGGTTAGGAAAGGACACAGGGAAGGGGTAACCACAAGGATTAGGAGGAAGAAGAGCTGTTACACTGTGGGGACTGGAATCAGTGTTACAAAGCAAAATGTGTATGAACTGCAGAATGTAAAACTTACCTGCTTTGTAAAATTTCACAATTAAAAAAATCACAATCACAATAAAAAGTTAAACAAAATCCATCTACTAAGGTTTATATATGGAAGGACACTTTCTTTGTTGCTTACCAGGGGTGGGAGGGGAGGGCAGAGAACACTTAAAAAAAAAAAAAAAAAAAAAGCCATCTACTATCCTTTGCTCATTAAATATGTTAGGTTTTTCAACTGCTGATTCAATGAAATGCATGCAGATTTATTTAGCTGGGGTATGGCTTCTACACAGAACTAAGAGGCAATCATTATGTAAGGGTTCCCCACCCAAACAGCCCATTTTTAATTTAAACTGTCAATTACTGACAAGCACACCCATCCTCAAAGTTCCAGGGACACAGAGTCACTGCTACACTTGGTGTAGAAGAAGCTCCAAGTAATTTATGGAACCCATATGAGGAGGGTAAAACAGCTAAGTAGCCATGTCTCAAACCCCTTCATGAACAGAAAGTTAAACTACCTCAGCTGCCCCATGACCATGCCAGGTCAAAGCCAGCTACAATAACCATGAACTTGCCTTACCTTTTACAACATTCTGAAAGTACTGAATAGCAGCACTGTCCCACTTCTTGGCAGGCCTAAAACAGTGAACAAGTGCAACTTCATTAAATAAGAATCTGAGGCTTATATATCAATATTATAATTTATGAATTACATTGGCTGCTTAATGATACTATATTTTGAACATAACTTACAGGCAACAGGGAGCTTGGCTTTGGCCCTGTGCTGGGGGAATGATCCTAGACACATCTCTGCAGTATGTTCCTAAGTCTGCTGTCTGCACTAATGCAGAGACTTGAGCCACAGAGGTCCTTCTAAGAATGGACAATGCTTAAATAACCCCTTTCTGGGGATACCAGAGTGCCCTTTGCCCACCACTATGGCATAATTTGTCCCATGACCTTTGGCCCCAGTTCCATATGTTGTTATTTGCCATTGAGTTGGACCCAACTCATAGTGACCCCGCCTCGGGTTTCCAAGGCAGTATCACTACAGAAGTAGATTGCCCAACCTTCCTTCCAAGGAGTGGCTGATGGGTTTGAACCTCCAGACTTCTGGTTAGCAGTCAAGTGCCTTAGGCACTACGCTATCAGAGCTCCCTATATGGCCCCCTTATGACTAATAATACAAACTCCCTCGACAAAGAGATGCAGGTACCCAGTTCCCAGCACAGGCTGGCACAGAATGAGGGCTCGATACATGTTGGCTAAACTGGCACTCTAAGAGGTTGTGGTGGAAAAGCTCTGATTTCCAGGACCCATCCAGTCACCATCACCCCATGGTATTCCTTACTCTAGCTCTCTTTCACTGTCTCCCATTTTCTATCATCTTGCCCTTTCTATATTTTTCCTATGCTTCAGAAAGAAAATCAAGAGCTGCAGGCAATGGAAAAGTGAGCAAACCAATATTTGAAAGCAAAGATCAAAAGGAAAATAAGTATGATTCAAGTGTACATTTTATGTATCTCCACCAATTTCATTCATCAGAGATAACATTACCATCCTGCACAGGTTGTTTTAAAGATAAAAATGAGGTAATGTCCATAAATCACTTAGCCCAGTGCCTACACATAATCAATATTCAAAAATCAGTTGCTTTTATTTTAAGAAAGAAGCTATTACACACATTAATTCAAGAGGTTAGTTTGGCTACATAATCCTATATTGTATGAATGTTTTTCTTTCAAGTTGATTTGTTACTTCTCATTAAGTCTACTCACAAAAAGGGGAAGGTCAAAAGCATCCAAGTTCAGCCCTACTCCAGAGCTTCTCGACTATAACCTCTGAGACGGGGCTGCCTAGGAAATCTGCTGCATATCCCAATTTGGAAATACTCACTCAGACAGATAACACTTCTCAAAGAACAAATATACCTTCAAAATTGCTTAGCACGTCTACATAGGAATTATTTGGTATAAACACCAGACACTTAAGACTTTTATTAATGACTTAGCCTATTTTAGAAGCTGTACTTACACAATTTCAGCACTGTCTTCACACAAGTCAATGTGTAATGTAACTGGTTTTGTGCAGAACAGTCCAAATTTCTTTGCTCTATACGGAAGCTGCATAAAAGTTTCTACTGCAACCCGGATGCTTAGCAGTGAAACAGAAATAGTTCCATTATAAGAAAAACAGTGTATATACCAGATATCTCCATATATCTTTAATGTACATCTATATAACTAATATATTTAATGTAAAACAAAGTGTACACACAAAAAATAATTGTTTTCCAACATAGCTACCAATAGCAGAAGTACTTGAATATATCTACTCAAGGGGGTAAAAATTGGTCCTTTGGGAATGAAAAAAAATCTTATTTTTATATATAAAACACAGATATACATACAGTAAGGAACTCTGGTGGCACAATGGTTAAAGTGCTCAGCTGCTAACCAAAAGGTCAGCAGTTTTGATCTTTCTCCATGGGAGAAAGATATGGTAGTCTGCTTCCATAAAAGTTTACAGCTTTGGAAACCCTATGGGGCAGTTCCACTCTGTTCTAGGTTGTTGTTGTTGTTATGTGCCGTCAAGTCAGCCCTGACTCATAGCGACCCCTCCTTGGGTTTCCGAGGCAGTATCACTACGGAAATAGGATTGCCCAACCTTCCTTCCGAGGAGTGGCTGGTGGGTTTGAACCGCCAGCCTTCTGGTTAGCAGTCAAGTGCCTTAGCCACTATGCTACCAGAGCTCCCACTCTGTCCTACAGGAATGCTATTAGTTCCAATTGACTCCACAGCACATGGCACACAGACATTCAATATATAATAGTAAAGTAAAGTAGTAAAATTCCAGGTATGGTAAGAAAAAAGTGTCTAACAAGGCTTCTTAGGAGGACAATTTAAAAAAAAAAAAGATTGAAATACCTTGAGTAATGACAAATATACCTGTGAAGCCCATCCTGTTAAGTAGTTTTGAATACCAACTTCAATTTCAGTATATGACCAAAATTACCTTAAAGTTTTTATAAATGAGCAGATGCTTTAGTAATCAGTATTTGCCAACTCCGCATAAACAGCTGAAGGAAGGACTGAGATTTGATAAGTAAGTTCAACACTTGTATTTCCACTCTTATCTCAGACAAATGATAGACCACTTTTTTTTTCCCAGTTTACCATAACGAGATGTCTTCCCTGGATCCTATTATGCCCTGTGGGGTACCATCTTTTGTCTTGGACACTTTAGAAACAGATGCCTGCAGCACTAACTGCCCCTTGAGGCCTCCCTGAGCTCTCTCTAGCTAATCATAGGATTATCTTGCCTCAAACAAATTAAACTTAAAACCCCAAATACTAAAAAATTTCACAAAGAAGTCAAACACAATCATTATTTTTATAGCAATTATGATTATAAAAGTGCAGGATCACAAAGCAAGAAAAATACTTTTTCTTAATTATCCAATTCTCTATAAACCTCTTCTCTCACGAAATTCTTCTAATTCAAGATGAATCTTTTACTGCAATTTTGGTTATTATTTAATAAAAGACAGGTCCTCATATTTATTTATTAAACTGATATCCTCTTATGTTGAGGAGCTTTGATGGAATAGTGTCTAAGGCATTTGACTGCTAACCAGAAGACTGGCGGTTCAAACCCACCAGCCCTCCTCGGAAGGAAGGTTGGGCAATCTACTTCCGTAGTGATACTGCCTCAGAAAGCCAAGAAGGGATTGCTATCAGTGGAATTGACTCAATACCAGTGAGTTTGGTGTTTGTTTACTTTGAGACTGGAAACCATTATTACAAAACATCAAAATTGACTTGTTGCTATGGTTTACTGTGATATGTGGTCCCAGTATCAGGGAGGAAGGACTGCACAGTCATCACCTGGTTACTGGCTCATTCTGAACCATCTCCCCATCTTATGTAATTGTCACATCACTGCTTTGTTAAGAGAGCAGCAATAAGAAGGGTGTCTCAGTACCTCCTGGTAGTGCCTTTTTTGCAGCCAGGACTCCCTTAATCACAAAGAAAAAGTAAGAGCCCAGGCCAGGAAACAGGCTAACAGAGAACTGTGAGGAGATGCAGCATGTATAGGCTGTATCTGCCCTCCCCTTTCCAGGTAGGAAAGTGGAAGAAGGGCTAGAGACTTCTAAGTCTTTATGATGACCGCTTTCTCTTCTATTCAAAGGATGTAAAATGAGAATCGCCAAATGTGTCTTCCTTGAAGCAAAATAATCCCAGTTTTATGTTTTCTCAAAAGGTAATGACATTCTCCTTGTCCAGGTGTACAGCAGAGCTGACAAGGGACAAGGTTGTGGTGGCTTCTTGGCCACAGCCAGCTACCTGAAGGAAATGAGAAGTTGGACCTGTGGGCTAGGGACCATTGTCACAGGGGACATCAAGCTCAATTGGCATAACATACTACAAAAAACTTTGTTCTACATCCTACTTCAGTGAGTAGTGACTAGGTTCTTAAACGCTTGCAAGCGGCCATCTAGATGCAGCAATGGGTCTCTCCTTGTCCAGAGCAAAGCAGAATGAAGAAAAACAAAGATGCATGGAAACAATTAGTCCAAGGGACTGGTACACCATGTGATCCTCAGCCTATATGAACATAAGACTAGAAGAACTAGATGGTGCCTGGCTACCACTGTCAACCACTTGGAGGTAAATTGGTACAAAAGATCCTGGATAAAGTGGGAGAACAATGTAGAAAAAAACTCAAAATTATAAAAAGAAAAAAAATCACAGGTTTCCTGGTCTGATAGAGCCTGGTGAGACCCCGAGACAATGGCACCTAGTTACCCTTCAGGTCTGGAACTGAACTCACTTCCATGGCTTCCACCCAAACGACAGACAGGCATACTGGGTGAACATTTACATCAGGCAGATACACTCCTTGCAGCGATCAATCGCAGAAGAACAGAAGGGCAGTGTTGGCACATAGAGATAGCTTGGAGGGTGGGAGTGCATGGAAGGGAAGGACACAGGGAAGAGGTAATTATGGCGAGGAAGTGGGAAGAGAGCTGCTACACTGTGGAAAATTGCAATCTATGTCATGAAACAAAATGTGTATGAAATGCTGCATAGAAAATGAATTTGCTCTGTAAACTTTCACCCAAGTAACAATAATTTTTTTTTAAAAAGTAATGACCTTCTCCTTAAAGTTCATTTGTTTCCTTAGAACATTTGCTTCTTCAGAGAGTGTAAGGCAAAATGAGTATGTACATACTTTTTAGATTTTACTGGAATATACTTGGCAAAGTCCACAAGGAAACATTCTACCAAATAGTGGTCAGCTGAAGATATGATTGACTTAATAACCGCCCTGCACCAGCACTTTAGCTCCTGACAATAAACCACACAAACCTACAAAAGAAAACAGAAGGTACTTTTTTAAAAAGAACTTTAGCATTAACATCTCTAGTCATAAAATGAGTGCATTACAATCACCTCAGCCTACATTTCACCTTACAGAAGGGGAAAGAGATGCAAGGAGACTGCACCTGCCCAAGCTAAACAGTGCTTGTCAGTAAAGGAAACAGTAAGAACACAGGTCATCTGAACTACAGTTTACTGTTTTTCTTTCTAAAACTATTTTAACTCCTTAGCTGTTACCCTTCAAATAAAGACAATTTCTAGAAAGTAAAATAAGAAAAATGCATCACTTTACCTTCTTAAATCTGAGAATAAACCTTACAAACAATTGTTAATCACATGTGCCCAACCCAATACGAAATTACAAACCCCAACCCCATCCTCCCAGCCTCCTCCCCATGACTTTTATTACCCTCTAACATTTGTTTACTGTCTGCCCAAGTGGATGTCAGCTCCAGGACAATGGATTTTTGTCCGTTTTGTTTAATGCCATATTCCCACAATCTTCTAGTGGCTAGCATATATGAAATCTTCAAACACTACTTGTTGAATGACTGAATACATAAATGTCTGTAATACTTGTTAAGGGAACTGCCCTACTGAAGCGAAAGCCATTGACATCCTGACTATACCAAGGACCACCAGGCCACAGCTGACCTGACTGGCAATCCGTAGACAAACAAACTATATGGTGTCCACAGGCTTATCAAGTGGTCTGGTAGAGAAAGCTGTGCCCACACCAGGAAGAAGGCAGGCCAACTGAAATTCCTACCCTTAGAAATTTAAGTAGGAAAACACAGTGCAGCCATTCTGCAAAGGATGGATGGATTTCTAAGAATCTCACATAAGTCAAAACTCAAATAATTCAAAAGAAATTTTGATAAAGGATGGAAGGTGTTTCTGTTTCATGCCAACGTCACAGCAACTTTTAGGGATGCTATTGAATAGTTAATCATTGCATGGCTATTCAAGTTTCAAACTGTGTTATACTAGGGCTTCCACTAGTCAAAAATAAAACAATTTAAGCATTAAGAAGTACAATGACTATAACATATATAAAAAGCCATAAGTTAAAAATATCACAATACTAAAAAACAGAAAAGTAGAGGGGAAAAAAAACAACAAATATTGTAAAACTAGAAATCAACAAATGAAGATCAAAGAAAGAAACTCATGGAAACTGAATAATACCCTGCTTAAAAACTACTGGGTAACAGAAGAAATAAAAATAATATTAAAAACTTCCTTGAATTAAATGAGAATGAAAATATAACACACAGAAATGTCTGGGACATGGCAAAGACAGTGCTCAGAGGGGAATGTTTAGCAATAAAAGCACACATCAAAGAAAAGAAAGAGCCAATATTCATACCTTAACCCAACATTTCTAACAATTACAAAAAGAGCAGCAAAATAAGCCTACAATCACCAGGAGAAAAGAAACAACAACAAGATTCAAGCAGAAATAAATGAAACTGAAAAACAACAGAAACAATCAATAAGACCAGAAGTTGGTTCTTTGGAAAGATTAACAAAATTGAGAATCCACTGGAAAATTTAACAATGGAAAAGAAGGAGAAGATGCAAATAACATAAGTAATAAATGAAAAGAACCGACAGAAACAAAAACGATAATATCAGGATACTATAAAGAATTTTAGAAGCTCTGGTAGCATAGTGCCTAAGGCACTTGGCTGCTAACCAGAAGGCTGGCGGTTCAAACCCACCAGCCACTCCTCGGAAGGAAGGTTGGGCAATCCTACTTCCATAGTGATGCTGCCTCGGAAACCCAAGGAGGGGTCACTATGAGTTGGGGCCGACTCGACGGCATATAACAACAACAACAACAACAACGTAAAGAATTGTACTCCATCAAATTTGAAAACCTAGAAGAAATGGACAGATTTCTAGAAACACTACTTACCTAAACTAATACAGACTGAGGTAAACCAATACAGACTGAGGTAATACAGAATGAACTGAGGTAATACAGAATGAACTGAGGTAATACGGACTGAACAGATCTGTAACAAAAGAAGAAATTGGACAGGTCATAAAAAAAACTACCAACAAAAAAAGTCCTGGCCCAGATGGCTTCACTAAAGAATTTTGCCAAACATTCAAAGAAGAACTGTTACCGATTCTACTCAAACTATTCCAGAATATAGAAAAGGAATGAATACCCCAAAATTCATTTTATGAAGCAAGTATAACCCTGATACCAAAGCCAGACCACTAAAAGAGAAAATTATAGATCAATATCCCTCATGGACATTGACACAAAAAAATCTCAACAAAATCCTAGCCAAAAGAATTCAACAACATAACAAAAAAATACTACATAATAACAAAATGGGGTTCATACCAGGTATGCTAGCATGGTTCAACATTACGAAAAGTCAACATAATCCACCACATAAAGGAAAAGAATTACATGATCGATCATATCAATTGATGCAGAAAATACATTGGATAAAATCCAACACCTAATCCTCATAAAAAACATTGAATAAAATAGGGATAGAAGGGAATATTCCTCAACATAATTAAGGGCATATATACAAAACCATGGCCCACATTATTCTCAACGGAGAGGGACTAAAATCATTCCCTTTACAAACGGTATCAGACAAGGATGTCCTTTATCACCACCATTATTTAATATTATACTGGAAGCCCTAACCTGAGCAATAAAGTAAGAAAGTGAAATAAAAGGCATTCAAATTGGCAAAGAAGTAAAAGTATCTCCATACACAGATGAAATGAATCTACACCAGTACACCACTAAAGTGCCTAAAGAACATCAACGCAAAGCTGAAGGGTACAAGATCAACACACAAAAATGACTTGACTTTCTTTATATCAAGGAAGAGAACTCTCAAAAGGGTATCAGGAAAAAGTATCATTTACAATGCCATCCAAAAGATTAGGTATTTTGGAATAACTCTAACTACACCCAAACGACCTATACAAAAAAAAACTACACATTTACTATAAGAAACCAAAACATACCTACATAAATGGAAGAATATACCATGTTCACAGGTAGGAAGACTTAACATTGTGAAAATATCAATACTACCCAAGGCAATTTAGAGATATAACACAATCCCAATCCAAATTCCATAATCATTCATTAAAGGGATGGGAAAACTCATCACCAACTTTATATGGAAAGGAAAGAGACCTCAGAAAAGTAAAGCACTACTAAAGAAGAAAAGCAAAGTAGGAGGCCTCACACTCCCCGATCTCAAAACCTGCTATGCAGCCATGGTAGTTAAACAGCCTCGTACTAGGACAATGACAAACACATAGATTAAATGGAACAGAACTGAGAAGCCAGACAAAAATGTGTCCACTTATAGACAACTAATCTTTGACAAAGGGCCAAAACTCAACAAATGTGGAAGAGATAGTCTTTTTTATAAATGGTCCTAGCAGAAAAATGAAACAGGATCTATATCCCATACTATATGCAAAAACAAACTCAAGCAAGATCAAAGACCTGAACATAAAACCTAAATCTATAAAGATCAATGGAAAAATAGGGACTAACTTAAAAGCCCGAATACATGGCACAAATACATGCTCAAACATAACTAAAAATGTACAAACACTAGAGGAAAATGCTGTGGGAGTGGAAAATGGTACAACCGCTGTGGAAAACTGTATGGCGCTGCCTTAAATAGAAATACTACATGATCCAGCAATCCCACTACTATTATCCTAGAGAAATAAGAGCCATGACACAAAAAGATATGTGTACACCCATGTTCATCACAGGACTATTCACAACAGCAAAAAGATGGATACGATTTAAATTCCAATCAATGGATAAATGGTTAAACAAACAATGGTACATATACTCAACAGAATGGTATGCAAAGCTAAAGGCAGTGAATCTGCAAAACATCTCATAACATGGGTGAACCTAGAGGACTTTATGCTGAACGAAATAAGTCAACCACAATAGAACAAATATTGTATGAGAACACTATTGTAAAGAATCAAGAAACATTCTTTGATGGCTATCAAGAGTGGGAGAAGGGAGGGTTTTAATTTGGGTGAAGGGGGAGGCAGTAAAAAAGTAAAAAAAAAGATACAATGATCTTGGTGATAAGTTTGTTGTTATTGTTGTTAGGTGCTGTCAAGCCAGCTCCAACTCATAGCGACCCTAAGTACAAAAGAACAAAGCACTACCCGGTCTGTGCCACCCTCACCATCCTTGCTGGACCTGAGCCCACTGTTGGGGCCACTGTGTCAATCCATCTCTTGGAGGGACTTCCCCTTTTCCACTGACCTTCCACTTTACTGAGCATAACATCCTTCTCCAGGCAATGTTACCTTCTGACAACATGACCAAAGTAGGTTAGACAAAGTCTGGCCATTGTCACTTCCAAAGAGCATTCTGAGTGCACTTCCTCCAGGACAGATTTGTTAGTTCTTCTGGCAGCCCATAGTACTTTCAGTGTTCCTTGCCAGCACCACAACTCAAAAGCATCAACTCTTTTTTAGTCTTCCTTATTCACCGTTCAGCTTTCACATGCATATCAGGCGAATGAAAATATCAGGGCTTGTGTCAGGTGCACCTTAGTCTTCAAAGAGACATCTTTGCTCTTCAACACTTAAAAGGTTTTTTGCAGCAGATTTGCCTAGTGCAAAATATTGTCTGATGTCTTGACTGCTGCTTCCATTGGTGTTGATTGTGGAACTAAGTAATATGAAATCTTTGACAACTTCAATCTTGCCTCCATTTCTCACAGTATTGCTTATTGGTCCAGTTGTAAGGATTTTTGTTTTATGCTGAGGTATAACCTATACTGCAGACTGTACTCTTTAATACTCATCGGTACTGCTTCAAGTCATCTTCACTTTCAGCAAACACAGTTGTGTCATCTGCCTATCTCAGATTGTTAATGAATCCTCCTCCAATCCTGATCCCACACTCTTCTTCATTTGGTGTAGCTTCTTGGATTATATGCACAGCATACATCCGAAGATATATGGTGAACGGATACAACCCTGACACACTCCCTTCCTGATTTTAAACCATGCACAATCCCCTTGTTCTGTCTGAACAACATCCTCCTGGTCTATGTACAGGTTCCTCATGAGCACAATTAAGTGCTCTGGAATTCTCATTTTTCTCAACGTTATCCATACTTTGTTACGATCCACAGAATCTAATGCTTTTACATAGTCAATAAAACACATGTCAAAATCTTTCTGGTATTCTTTGCTTTGAGCCAAGATCCATCTGACATCAGCAATGATATTCCTCGTTTCACGTCCTCTTCTGAATCCAGTTTGTGTTTCTGGAAGTTCTCTCTCAATATACCGCGGCAACCATTTTTTAATTATCTTCAGCAAGATTTTACTTGTGTGTGATATTAATGATATTGTTCTATAGTTTCCACATTTTGTGGGATCATCTTTCTTTGGAATGGGTACAAATATGGATCTCTTCCAATCAGTTGGCCATGTAGCTGTCTTTCAAGTCTCTTGGCATAGATGAGTAAGTGCCTCCAGTGAGGCATCTGTTTGTTGAAACATCTCAATGGATATTCTGTCAATTCCTGGAGCCTTGTTTTTTGCCAATTCCTTTAGCACAGCTTTGACTTCTTCCTTCAGTGCCATCAGTTCTTGATCATATGCCACCTCCTAAAATGGATGAACATCAACCAATTCTTTTTGGTACACTTTGTGTATTCCTTCCATCTTCTTTTGATATTTCCTGCATCATTCAATATTTTGCCCATGTTGTTGCTGTCGTTGTTATGTGCCGTCAAGTCAGATCCGACTCATAGCGACCCCTCCTTGGGTTTCCAAGGTAGTATCACTACGGAAGTAGATTGCCCAACCTTCCTTCCGAGGAGTGGCTGGTGGGTTTGAACCACCAGCCTTCTGGTTAGCAGTCAAGTGCCTTAGCCACTATGCTACCAGAATCTATGCCCATAGAATCTTTCAATATTGCATCTTAAGGCTTGAATTTTGTCTTCAGTTCTTTCTGCTTGAGAAAATGCCAAGCATATTCCTTCCTTCTGGCTTTCCAACTCCAAGTCTTTGCACATTTCATTACAATAACTGACTGTTCTCTCAAGCTGCTCTTTGAAATCTTCTGTTCAGCTCTTTTATCTCATCATTTTTTCCATTTGCTTTAGCTACTCTCTGTTTAAGGGCAAGTTTCAGTCTCTTCTGACATCATTTTGGTCTTTTCTTCCTTTCCTTTAATGACTTTGCTTTCTTCGTGGATGATGTTCTTAAGGTCATCCCACAATTCCTCTGGTTTTTGGTCACTGGTGTTCCATCTATTCTTCAGATGGTCTCTAAATTCAGAAGTGACATAATCAAGGTCATATTTTGGCTCTCGTGGATTTAATTGTCTTCAGCTTCAACTTGATCTTCCATATGAGAAGCTGATGATCTGTTTCACAGTCAGCTTCTGGCCTTGTTTTGGCTGAAGATATTGAGCTTCTCCATTGCCTCTTGCCACAGATGAAGTCAATCAGATTCCTGTGTACTCCATCTGGTGAAGTCCACATGTATAGTCACCATTTCTGTTGCTGAAAAAAGGTATTTATGATGACTAAGTTGTTGGTCTTGCAAAGTTTTCTCATGTGATCTCCAGCGTCATTTCTATCACACCAAGGCCATATTTTCCAACTTCTGGTGATTCTTCTTTGTTTCCAACTTTTGCATTCCAATCACCAGTAATAATCAACACATCTTGATTGCATGTTTGGTCAATTTCAAATTGCAGAAGTTGGTAAAAATTTTCAGTCTCCTCATCTTTGGCTTTGGTGGTTGGTGTGTAAATTTCAGTAATAGTCTTAACTGGTCTTCCTTGTAGGCATATGGATCCTATCACATATTATCCTATCACTGACAGCACTGTACTTCAGGATCTTGAAACATTCTTTGTGATGATGAATGGCACGTCATTCCTCTTCAATTTGTCACACCCAGCATAGTAGATCATATGGTTGTCTGATTCAAAATGGTCAAAACCAGTCCATTTTAGCTCACTAATGCCTAGGATACCAATTTTCAGGCATTCCATTTCATTTTTGACAACTTCCAATTTTCCTACATTCATACTTCAATACATTCCATGTTCTGATTATTAATGGATATTTACAGCTGTTTCTTCCCATTTTGAGTCATGCCACATCAGCAAACAGAGGTCCCAAAAGCTTTATGCCACATCCACATCATTAAGGTTGGCTCTACTCTGAGGAGGCAGCTCTTCCCCAGTAGCATTTTAAATGCCTTCTGACCCAAAGGGCTCATCTTCTGACACTATATTAGACAATGTTTCAGTACTATTCATAAAGTTTTCCAGTAATATATCAGACAGTGTTTCATTGATATTCATAAGGTTTTCACTGGCCAATTCTTTGAGAAGTAGATGGCTCCTTCCTCCTTCTGAGTCTGTCTTAGTTTGGAAGCTCTGCTGAAACTTGTCCAGCATGGGTAACCCGGCAAGTATTTGAAATACCGGTGGCATAGCCTCCAGCCTCACAGCAACACACAAGTCACCACAGTATGACAAACTGACAAATAAGTGGTGGGGTGATAAAGCAGTATTGGAATATTCAGAGGGTGGAATTAATTTCAGGAATATTTTAGAGAAAATTTCCACAATGGAAAAAGCTTGGATTCAATGATTACATTAAAGTCTAAGTGATTGAACAGTAGTAAAAACCAAAACCAAAGCCACTTCCATGAAGTCAATTCTGACTCATAGCAACCCTACAGGACAAAGTAGAAATGGCCCATAACGTTTCTAAAGCTGCAAGTCTTTAGAGAAGCAGAATGCCTCATCTTTCTCCCATGGAGCAGCTGGTAGTTTCAAACAGCTGACCTTTTGGTTAGCAGCCAAATGCTTTAACCACTGCTCCAGTACTACACAGAAAATATCATAGCAACAGAATGGCCATTTTGTGTAACAGGAGAATGTGAGATACTAGTTGGTTCTTAAAAACAAATGGCCATTGAGTGGATTCTAACTCATGGCAAACCCATGTGGGTCAGAGTAAAACTGTGTCCCATAGAGCTTTTAATGGCTGATTTTTTGGAAGTAGATCTACTGAGGTGCCTCTGGAGGGTCTCGAACCTCTAACCTTTGTTAACAGCTGAGCACATTAACCATTTGCACCCCCAGGGACTGCGGTTGGTTCTTAAAGTCCCCATAATATTTTGTGTATATTTAAATTCTCTCTATTTCTTTGTGACAATTTGTGGCCTATTGGTAAAGTGGCTTGGTAAAATGGAGGGTCAATAAAAAAGGGGAAGGCCCTTGGCAAGATGGATTGACATGATGGCTATAGCAATGGGTTCAGGTATAATAGGGATTGTGAGGCTGGCACAGGACTGGGCAGTGCTTCATTCTGTGGTACAGGAGGTCACTATGAGTCAGAGACAAATCGATGGCACTTAACAACAACAACATTTGTGATGTTTCACCCGTAATTCAGTAGTGAATTTATTAACTTAAAATTAAAGGAAAAAAAAAGAAAACTGTGGAAACCAATAGAGACAGTTAACTACAAGTTACTACATTAGAAATTGATTTAAAAAAATTTTTTTTAAGTTCCACTTTTCCAATATGAATACATTAATACAGGGCAACCAAAAAGTCTTAGTATGTGACAGAAAGTTCTATACAGAAGAACTCCAGCTACTGAATGCAGAAAGAATGAGAAAAATCATTTCGTAAGCTTGAATGAAAAAAGCTAATTTTGCCAGTGGTAGTCAATGAGTGGTAAAACCATCACGCAAAAAGCTGATGGGTAATGTCACAAGGGAGAGATTGAGCTGTCACCATCTGAACCCAATGATCAGTCTTAGCATCCCCAAAAGTGTCTCTCGGGTCAATACAATATTAAGTTCACAGCACCACTCGTTTTTTTAGGAAAAAAGTGATCCTAAATCTAATCCAAACTTCATATTTAACCTTCTATCCACAGAAAATAGAAGGGACAGAGGAATAAGTTAAACACCTTCACGTGGAAGCAACTGGACTATCCAAAATGTCCATTTTAAAAGGACAATTTCCCTGATTACATTTCCTCAGTAAGTCAATGGTATGAAAAAAAAAAAAGAAAAAAAAATTGTTATTACTGATAATTTTTGGAGAAGAGGGTAATTAAACTAGAAATTATTTCTAGTTTTATTCATAGAAAATTCACAAATCTTTTTCCATAATACAAAAAATCGAAGTCATCTGAAAAATGACTGATCCATAGAAACAATCAGTCAATTGGGCAGTGAGAGCTGAGGCTGAAAGACAGGAAGGTGGGGCCGTGCTATGGAATGGGGGAAATAAAGAAGCAAGAGCTGACCGAAGTCATGACAGCAACCACAAGGTAAGCATCCTAGACTGAAGATCCTCATGCGTTCTTTGCTGAGGTTCCCTCCCCTTGCACTAAATCTAAAATGAAAATCTCCTTATTCCCAGCTCTAGGAGAACAGATGTAAATGATATTCCACCTTGCCACCCCACATGAACTGCCTGAAATGTGCTACACTCTCAGAGCTTTATTATCTTAGTTGCTAAAATGTTTTACAATCTGAATAGTTATTTCAAAACATGAAATTTAAAGTACATTTAGATACCTACCTGCCCTTCCTCCAACACTGGTGGTTTTATTTCTCTATCTTGACACATGTTGTTGTAGTAGTCATTCATGGCACTATTTAGTTTTTGATAATCAACTTCATGATCTAAAAAGGGACTACACCCTTTTATAATAACCCAGAAGCAACCTGGATCTTTAATCTGTAAAATTTAAAAAGACAAAGAAAACAATGCATGATTTAAAAGTAGAGCCACAAAACAATAAACCTTAGAATCAAGGTAACTGTTTCTATTTTAAGTGATCTAATAGACAAATGCCTCTGTCTTAAATGATTAAAAATAAAAGATCAATGATAAAATTCTGAAACGTAACCAATATAAAAGTAATTCTCAATTATGTGTAGCATAGTGGCTAAGGCACTTGACTGCTAACCAGAAGGATGGTGGTTCAAACCC